TGCTCGCGAGAACACTCAGCAGGGACCAGGACCAGCAGACGGCATAACGGCTACGTCACTGGGCTCCTACGTGGCCAGCTGTGGTTCAAGTTCTGGGTCTGCAGGTTTGAAACTCGCACTGGGCGCGTGTGCGTGCGTGCCCGAGATCCCAGGAGGAGAATGGAGGAGAAGGGATTGCGGTGTGGCCATCCCCCTGGGGGGTGATTTCTCACTTTGGGTCTCTCTGGCAAGCACATGCGCCCTACAGTAAAAATCTCTCTCTCAAAAAAACAAAGCACACTCAACAAGGGTCAGCGGGTGGCATGGTAGTTAAGGTGCTGGATCCCACATGACTGACAGAGGTTCGAGTCCCAGACCCAGTAGCTTGAAAATCATGCTGGGTGTGGGTGTGTGTGTGTATGCCCAGAATCCTAAGAAGAGAACGGGAGAAGGGACTGCAGCATGGCTGTGCCCCTAGGGAATTTCTCACTTTGCCTCTCTCCGTCTCTCCCCAGCAAGCCTGCATGCCCTATGGCAAAGATCTAGAAAAACAGGAACACTGACCAAACTGGAAGCAGAAAAGGCCCGCAGCCGCAGGGAGCGCTGCTCTCGGTGGGGAAGAAGGAAAGCGTTTCTCTACGTCAGGGATGCAGCAGGATGCCCGACAACGCCTGCACTCCTGCCCAGACGGTGCTGGGGGGCTAGAGAGAGACCAGGGGTGTCCAAGCTGGGAAGGAAGAGCGAGACCACCGGGGCTCCCCGGCTGGCTGGGGGTCCACAGAACCTGGACAGCCCAGGACACTGGGGTGGAAGACCTGCCACCCACGTGCCTGCGCCCAGCAAGAAGGGCCTGGTGGGACCTCGGGGCAGCACGTCCACAGCCGGGGACACTGCGCCGAGTCCCCTGCTGAGACCGGAGGGCTGTTCTCAGCGGGCCCAGAGGTTCCGACCAAGTGACAGGCAGATCCTGGGTGGGGGTGTCGTGTGGAGCCCCTAGCGGGCCTCTCGGGACAGTCGTGGCACAGACCTGAGCCTGCGGCAGGCCAGGCCTTGGGGCAGAATGTGGTCCTGCATTTGGGACGTGGCCCCCAGCACGCTGCGGGGCCCAGGCAGCGCGTCACTCCACAGCTCTCCCGAGCTTCCTCGACTTGGACATCGGCTACACCACCAGAGGAGGAAGGCCTGCGCTGGGGTCAGGTCACCCACTCCGCCTCCTCTCCTGGATGGGAGGGGCAGGGACAGCTGCTGCACACATGGCCAGTCCATGCGGGCACCGACTCTGCCACCACACTACAGCTGTGTGGGAGGCCCTGGCAGGGGCAGCCAGGACAGCCCCGAGGAGCGTGGCAGCCCAAGCAGGGCGTCAGATCAGTTGTGGGCTCTGCTGAGGGCCGGGCTGGCTCACCAGGACCCAAAGTGGACCAACCAGGGACACCAGCGACAAGGTGGGCTGGGAAGAGACATGGGGGTGGGATGCGAAAACGCCAGCACACGGGGCTGGCTCTGTGTCTCTGTGACACCCCCGGAATCAACAGAGGGACACTGGACACCAGGTGAGCAGCACGACTGTGCAGTGGCTATTGGCCAGCAGCCTGTGGACAATGCCATGGTGGCAGGAATGGTGGCTGCACACTCCCTCCGGTCCAGCCTGACCCTGCCAGGGCCCGCCGTTGCCAAACAGGCTCATCAGCGCAGGACGGACACTCTAGAGACGGCAGGCCAGAGACAGTGACCAGAGCTGGGAAGGCACCATCTGGAGGGACTTCTTGCAACGGTCCCAGTGTGTCCATGTGCTGGTGACCAGGTGTCCCATCCAAAGACGGACACCTGGAGTCAGCCAATGGACAGGAGGCCTCGCCCACGCGGCTGTGGGTGCAGGGTGGCGCTGCTGTCGGCCCCGGCTGCTCCGAGGGCTGCCCTGTGCTAGCCTGGGCCGAGCGGTCAGCCTGGCGCTATGTGCTGTGATGGGGACACAGCGTATTCTGGTATTCTGGCTGGACACTCCCACCTAGCTTCGTGCCGACCCCGTAGTCGGGGCGCCCCTGCACCCGACTTCTGAGCTATGCCTGTGTAGCATAGAGGGGCGTGTAGGGCCCGGGCCCCTGGGCTTATTTCTCCCGTGTCTTTGAACAGGGGCCTAGGAGGGTGGGCCCTAAGCCCTCGCCTGTGGTGGGCACAGAGCTTCCTGCCCGGCCACCAGGCAGGGTTGTGACACCTGATTATCAGTGGGCATCTGGATGCAGGGGACAAGATGCCAAGACAGGGAACAGCAGAGAGCATTCCAGAGAGCCCAGCAGGGGGGCTGGCTGCCAGGCAGAGGCCCTCCCAGGAGAGGCCTGGCCTTGCCTGTGTTCTCCCGTCTGCCCCTTCCCGTCTGCCTCCAGCTGCTGCCCGCCGTCCAGTGTGCTCTGCACCCCGTGGAGCACGGAGCCCTGACAACACACGTGACACAGATCAGGACTTGCAGACTGGGTCCGCCCTGTCCCAGAACAAGTGGCCAGAGCATACCCATGCACCTGAGGAAGGCCCATGGTGACGGGGTGCTGGGCCCTTGCCCAGAGCATGCCCAGGTGGGGCAGCGCGGGGGCAGCCGGGGAGATGGTCCAGCCCCTACTGCTCCAGCTGAGGAGCCCCGAGGTATGGCCACCAGATGTGGAAGTGGGGCCAGCAAGGAGGCAGGTGGGGCCAGGAGGGGTAGAGATGCTGGCCCTCTGCTGGGCGGTCGGTGGGCCTGGCCGGCTTGGGGCATGGGGCGCAGTCGGGGGCGGTGCGGCTGAGTGGGAGGACCCCCTGCAGTGGGAGCGTGAACCGGGGAGGCTGGCGCAGGGCGGGGAGGGCGCAGGGGGGCTCCAGATCCCAGGACCCGGGCTCACCGGGTCAGTGAGAGCCTGGGCCGGCCTGAGGTTGGCTCTCTTTCCCGCCACCAGAGGGCGACATGCGGCGGACATCTCTGAGGAGGGTCTCAGCCCAGGAGGGCAAGAGGGTGAGCAGGCCCCAGGGCGAATGGGCACAGAAAGCATCGAAGGGTCAGTGTCAGAGCAGGCTTGCTCCACGGACAAGCATGTGCACGCACACACGTGCACACACCTTATGAGTCCCGGCTTCAGGCAGCCTCCTTCCTGCCTTCCTCCCCAGGGGCCATGGGAGACGGAGGCTCTTACCTGCGGGGACCTCCGGGCTCTCTGGGGACGCAGGCTCCCTTGCCCCCACGCCCGTCTTTCTCTGCGGCTGCCGGTTCACTCCAGGCTGCCCTGGGAGAGGAGGGCAGTCAGCGGGCGGGCAGGAGGCATTTACAGGGCACCAGGAGGACCACACCCTGGCTACTAGGAAGTCCTTCTCCCCAGCCTCCTCTGGAGGCCAGCACATGCCAGCGTTAATGAGTGCCCAGGCGGCGTCCTTCCGTACCTGGGGTGTCTGCAGGCCACTGGGAGGGCCAAGAGGCAGAAACACCCCTGTACTTGAGTACCCTGGGCCACGCTGAGGCTGGGAGGGCGGGCCCAGCTGCTGGCTGTACCCTGCCCTGTGGTCCTCTCCCCACTAACTGTCCCCACCACTCTCCTGGGCTCTCGGACAGGGGGCTGCCCAGCTCCCCAGGAGGCCTCTGGGGCAAGGGCTGAAAGGAAGGGGTGCTGGGCTGGGCCAAGCAAACCAGTCCAGCCAGTGTGACAGGGATGCAGCCCTGGGCGTGGGTGTGAGTCAGAGGCCCCCGGCTGGGGAAACGCTGGGGAGGCACCCACTCGGGGCCTCGCCCTCCCAGCAGGAAGCCCAGGGAAGAAGAGCCAGCATCTGGGGTGGTCCTTACCCACCTCTGCACCCAGGGCAGGCCTGGCGAGGACAGGCAGCCACACTAACCAGGACAGCATGAAGAGCCCCAGCCCGCTCCCTTTCTGCCCTGTCTCGCCCCCAAAGGCTGCTCCTCCCGCAGGCCCAGTGCTGCCCCAGCAGAGCTTATACTGGGCCCAGCCGGGGTGCCAGGGAGTACGAGGCGCCCAGGGCCAGTGGGGTGGGGCTGGCTGGGGCCAGTGCAGTCAGGAGGCCGCCTGGGCCGCACACAGTTCGAGTTTCCCGCGCCAGCCGTGCAGGGTGGGGCAGGACCAGGCAGCTGAGTGCACACAGTGTGGTCTGGCTCTGTCCCGCCTGCCGTCTGCCGGGCCTGTCTCCCTCCCCGCCTGGCCAGCAGACCCGCGAGCGAGCGTGAAGCCCTACGCCGTGTCAGCGTTAGTCAGCCGCCCCAGCCTGGTGAGCAGCCGCGCCAAGTCCCCATAAACTCCCGGCGTGGCCCAGCCCTGTGAGTGGGGCTGTGAGGCCCAGAGGCAGAGCCAGGGCCAGAACCGAGGTGCTGCGGGCAGCGGCAGAGAGGCAGGCCCTCTGGAGCAGCAGGAGGGAGGGCCCCCACAGGCCAGGGTGCCCTCTGAGCTGGCCTGCCTGGGGCCAGTCAGCAGATGAGCCGGGCCCAGGAGCAGGCACCTGGTGGAAGAGGTGGGAGCCGGGCCATGTCTGGGAAACGAGGTCGAGCTCGCAAATCTCGAGCCAGGAGGGCAGGCCGGGCCCGGCGGGCACCTGGACAGCAGGGCCTCGAGGCCGAGCCCCCACCCCCTGCCAGACAGGGCCCTCAGGATGAGGCAGGGGTGGACCCCAAAGGGCACGTGACCAGCATCAAGCCAGCTCCCCAGGGCGTCCCGGGGGCGGCCAGGTCAGAGCAGCCACAGGCAGCCTCGGGGCCAGTGCAGGCCACTGCTCTGGGGGTTGAGCTGGTACTAGCCCGCGTGGAGCACATGGAGGGCTGGGAGGCAGGGTGCCCTGTGCCGGCCCTGGGTCCCGACCTGCTGCAGCTCCCCGAAATCCAGCTGTGCCTAGCCCAGGAGCAGCTGCGGGAGGAGCAGGCCTGGCTGCAGCAGCTGCGGGAGGAGCAGGGCTGGGCGGCGGCCACGT